ATCCCTCCCCGACTGAAGGGAATCCAGAGTAATTGACAGCGTCGGGAGCTTGTTCTCATGGGGACGGGCTGGCCATGTTAATTTCAACATTAAGAACTTGGGCTGCCCTAACAGTCTGCTCAGTGGATAGCACATTGGCCTGAGGGCCGAAGTGTCCTGGGTTCGATTCCAGTCACAGGCACATATCGGGGCTGCAGGCTCAATCCCCAGTGTGGGGCGTGCAGGAGGCAGCCAATCAATGGCTCTCTCATCATTGATGTTTCTATCTCTCCCTCTCCCTTCCTCTCTGAAATCAATAAAGAATATTTTTTTTTTAAAGAACTAGGGCTACAATAGTGAAAATACTTCTCGAAATGCACAGCCGCCTGAGCGCCCGGCCCAGCCCCCGGTGCTGCCATCTAGGAGGAGGGTCGGCGCTGCAGGGCTGTTGTAGCCACGGCGCCCAACCATCTCCCATCTGCCCTCCCCCTGGGCTGCAGGCTGACGTGGGCCAGCCCTGGTCTGTCCTCCACGGGGGCCAGCATGGGCGGCGGAAGCTCAGGCCCCGGGACTCGCGGTCGACCTATTAACCTCTGCAGGTGACACGCTCACTGTCACCTCCTGGTCGTCCCTGACGCAGGCCTAACCATGCTCTCCCGTCTTCGCAGAGGGGACAGGGCGCGCCCGCCCGGGAGCCGGTGATCAGCAGCGAGGAGCAGAAGCAGCTGATGCTGTTCTACCACCGCCGGCAGGAGGAGCTCAAGGTGCGGGAGCCCGTGTCCACACACATGTACATGCACATGCACACACACGTGCACACACACATGCACACATGTACATACATACACACACACACACGCTTCCCCCAGGGGTCAGCAGTGCTGCAGGGGGACTTTCCAGAGCTTCGGCCTCGCCTAGGCTGTGGTCCTGCCAGGCCTCCTCCCCGCCGCGCCCCCCATAGAGTCCAGAAGCATCTGCTTGGGCTGGAGGAGGTTACAGGCTCATCTTCCGTCTCAATAAAACATTTCTTTCCAGAAACTGGAGGAAAATGATGACGACTCGTGTTTGAACTCTCCGTGGGCCGACAACACTGCTCTGAAAAGACATTTTCAAGGCGTGAAGGACATCAAGTGGAGACCAAGATGAAGCTTCTAGAAGCCCTAGCTCACCTCTCTGTAGGCAAACAGTAACCATAGTAACAGTGATGACGGTGAACACAGAAGGGTGGCACAGCCCTCGTGAAAGACGTTGGGATTTCCAGGTTTCCTAGTTTCTGAGTTTGAATTTTTATGATAAAATGTATTAAAGGTCGTAGAACTTAAACGCGTCCTCAGAGAGTCTGCCTGCGCCTCCACCCGGGCGGTTTGTCTGTGAGGGCCTCCTGGGGCGGGTCCCAGGATGATGGCTCCCTCCTTCTGTCCTGCGGGTCCTGGCATCTGCTCTCAGCCGCTGCCCTGGAGCGGAGCTCAGCGTCAGTGGCCACTAGAGGGCGCCGTCGCCTCCCCTGTTTTCTTGGGCTGCAGGTCTGTCCGAGGCTGGAGCCTGACAGCTCTGGTCAGAGGTGAAGGTCACCCCCTGGCTGAGGCTCCACCAGATGGAGGGGCAGTCGGTGCCGTTTGACCTGGAACCTGATGCGTCCCCAGGCAGTGCCTCCCCCCCCACCCGCCCTCGGCTCAGCTCAGCTCCCTGCTCCCCCCTCCCTGCTCTCAGCTCAGTGGACACTTCCCTGGACGCAGACCCGACCCCACCGTCAGCCCAAGCTCGTCACTGGGAGGGTCAGTGGCGGGGACCTCGTGGACTGGACGCAGACCCGGCCCCACCGTCAGCCCAAGCTCGTCACTGGGAGGGTCAGTGGCGGGGACCTCGTGGACTGGACGCAGACCCGGCCCCACCGTCGGCCCAAGCTCATCACTGGGAGGGTCAGTAGCGGGGACCCCGTGGACTGGACACAGAGCCGGTTCGCAGCCCTGGGCCTCGGCTGGGAGCCCCAGCGGGTGCCGTGCGCCTGTCCTGTCCCTCACCCCGTCCTGGGTGCTCCAGTCGCGTGGTCTCTCTGGGCCCTTGGCTCCGGCTCCCATCCTGTTACCCACCGGCCCCGGCTCCCCTGGGATGTCCGCCCCTGCGGCCCGAGCCTGGCCCTCCTTGTCCGCCGTCCGGTGACTTGAAGAAGTTGTTTCCTATGTTTTACTCATTCGTTTCACGCAGGAGGGTGAACCCACGCTCCTCCACGTGGGCCGGAAGCAGCAGTGCCAGGGCGCGCTGCAGACCGCGCTCGGGCGGCCACTGTGTGTGGGGGGGGGGCGGGGGGTGCAGGGAGCCTCACCAAGGACATTTTCCCATTGATGCTTTTTAGAGAGAGTGGAAGGGAAGGAGAGAGAGACATCGATGTGAGAGACAGACTGGTTGCCTCCCACACGGACCCGGACCAGGGCCTTGGATCGAACCAGCAATCCAGGTACGTGCCCTTGACCGGGATTCGAACCCACGACCCTTCGGTCCTAACTGCTTGGGCCAACGCTCTAACCACTGAACCACCGGCCAGGGCTACGAGGCCACTGCTGAGGAGTTAGAAGGAAATGCAGGAGCACCTCAGCACCACCACTCGCCTCTGGGAGACGGACGAGGCGGGGAGGCTCACGGCCTCTGGTCTCGGGTGGACGCGGCCTCCAGTCTCATCCTGCTGAGTCCCGGGAGCCGCTGCTGATCCACGACAGGATGACTGAAACGTCAGCAGCAGCGGGAGGTCCGGGGCCTGCGGAGCTCGGGGCGTCCGGGAGGCTGGGAGAAGGGCAGGGCCCAGGCCCGGCTGCTGGGACCCGGTGAGCAAAGCAGGCCCTGTGCCCGCCGGCCCGCCCACTCCTCCCGCTCCTGCTCCTCAGCCCTGGGCAGGGGCACCCGACCCCCCCGCTGGGCCGAGCGGGGGCCGGGGGGGTACACGCCACCTCGTTGCTTCTGTGACTGGATCAGGCTGTGAAGACTCGCACCGTGTGGGCGCCCCGAACATCAGAGGAGGGGGTTTCACGCTGGGGGGCCAGGGAACGAGAGGCCCAGCCTTGGTCGCCTGCAGGGCTCCCCTCTGACCTCAGAGTTCAGGCCAAAGTCTTCATTGTGGTGGGAAAGCCCAGGCCCGGGGCCCGGCGGATGGGCCGGCTCTGGGAGCAGCCCCCGCGGGCCATGGCGTGGTCCCCCCCCAGTGGCGTGAGGGTGGCCATCAACACGCCTCATGTTCCCACCAACGGAGCCGCCGTCCCTCCCGGGGCCGCCGCTGAGCACCCCCACCCGCTTGCTTCACTGGATAAAGAAAAAAAATCGCCCGCGCGGCTGTGACCGACCCCCTGCTGCCTAGTCCCTGGGGCGTGGGCTCTGCCGAGAGGAAGCCACCCGGACATGCCGGGGCCCTCATCCCCGACATGACACAGTTAGTGTCCGATTTCCATTTATCATTGAAGTGGCCCATGTGACCACAGACACAGCCACGCATACATGCACACACGCACGTGCATGCACATACACACGTGTGCACACAGATACGTGCACACAGACACATGCACACAGAGGTACACGCACAGACACGTGTGCTCTGCTTGTCCCTCAACAGCTACCGAAGGGAAGGCCGGGAGGAGGGATGAACAGCGAGCAGTGAAAGGGAGCCCTCCTGGCCGCTCCCTCACGGCGGCCCCGGAGCGGAGCGCGGACGCTCTGTCGGTGCTGCCGGGGCTGGAATTGGAAGGCGCTGATGGATCCCCCGGCCCCCGCCCCACGAGGCACCTGTGTGAGAGGCAGTCACACCGCCGGCTGCACTCAGGGCGCAGGTGACAGCTAGTGACACCCCCTCCCCCCAGCAGAGCCGCCGGGGACAAGCTGGGACCCACGGGGCGAGGCCGGCTGACCCCTCCCAGGTCTCACGTTCACACCAGCCCGGCAGCCCCCCAGGAGCCCGTCTCCGTAACCACCCGCTCTCTGTTTCGGGGGTCACCTTCCTGGGCGCCCGTGTGTCCCCTGACATTCTGCGGCCCCGCCTCCACGCGCAGGAGGGCGGAACTTCAGGCTGAACGGGGCGCTTCGCACTCACACCTTGACTCGGCCCGGAGTGGATTTTGCTGAAATGAATATTCCCTCTGGGTTTCGGCCAAACCTTGACGTTTCATTCCCGGTCGCCTTTTCTCTCTTTTTTTAAAGAAAATTAAAAGTGAGTGAAAGCGGGCTCAGGAAGGAACGGCTGCTTTTCAGCAGGTCTGATGAGAGGGAAGGAGGGAGGCGATGCTGTTTCTTTTCAGGAAAGTGGGGTTGGCCTGCAGGCCTCGGGCCGACACTGCGAGGCCAGGCGGAGGGGAAGTCAGCCCCCCCACTGCGCAGGGCCCCCCTGGCGCTGGCCTGAGAGCCCTGTGTGGCCAACAGGGAGGCACCTGGTGGAGGCCCCATGGGTGTGATCAGCTCCCCAACCCCTCTCCCCAGCCCAGGTGACCGAGGTCCCTGTCAGTTCAACTTCACGGGCATCACACGGAGCTGCCCACAGGCCAAGTGCGGGGGGTCCAGAGGCTCGAGAAATACCCCGGCTTCCCACCCACTTCCCCCAGCTGGGCCGCCCTGTCGCCTCAGGACCGCAGACCGGCGTGCGGAGCAGGCTGAGGGTGTGGCCGCGGAGCTCAGCTCAGCCGGCTGCTTCGTGACCATGTGTCTGTGCGTATGTGCACGGGGTGGGGGGCGGGGGCGGGGCACGAGCAGGTGAGGCCGGGGGTCAGTGTAAGCGCCGGCCAGGCCGCGGCTTCCTGTGCACCCTTCCCGGTGCTGAGCTCGGGCGGTGAGCGTGGCTGCCTCCCCTGGGAGTGGGGGCAGAGCATGGACATGCGGACCGAGCTGCTCACTCCACACGCAGGGAGCGCAGCCCTCACACGAAGGGACAGGGGGGCCGAGGCTGAGACCACTGACCCATCTCCCCCACGCGGCCGCGTCTCAAAGACAAGAACCTGAGAATTTCACATTTGAACCTGGTCTTCAAGGTCATTCTCAAGGTGTCTTTGCCAAGGAGAGAGGTGACATTTTAAATATATTTTATGGATTTCAGAGAGAGGAAGAGAGAGAGGGATAGAAACAGCAATGAGGAGAGAGAATCACCGATCGGCTGCCTCCTGCACGCCCCCTATTGGTGTTCAAGCCCGCAACCCGGGCCTGTGCCCTGACCGGGAATCAAACTGTGACCTCCTGGTTCATAGGTCGATGCTCAACCACGGAGCCACGCCGCCCGCTGGGCTGATTTGCACTTTCTAACAATCTGACTTCAAGAATTTGTCTGCCTTAAGACACAGCACAGGACCTTTCCCCAGGGCAGCTGGGATTCCTTCTAAACATCTGCAGGCGGAGAAGCGGCCACGCCATGAGCGAGTGATGCAGGCCCCACGTGTGTAGCAGAACCCCCCGCCCCCCCCTCCCCCCTCGCTGTCCCGGCACCTTCCCATCAGGGGCTGGGCCTCAGGAAGGAAGTCCAGGAGCTCAGAGCCCAGGGCACCTCCCGGTTGGCAAGTTCTTCTCCGATTAGCAACACGTCCTCCTGCGGTTCATTGTCGCCCGCGTTCCTCTCCCTGCGCTGGGAGGCGTCAGGGTCCCAGGCCGCCCCGCCCTTCCCGCGTTTTCCGGGTCAGGCCGCTGAGTCACTGACCTGGAACGGCCCCTCCTCTCCCGGCCTCCCCGGCCGCCTTCATCTTTGAAACAAGAGGAAATGACAGGCTCTATTTTTCTTTTCTCGAAAGGGCTCCGGCCGCGGTCTCGGCGTTGGGACAGGGAAAGGGCTGGAATTAGGCCGCGACCGTCGGAAGTGACCGGCTTTCCTCTCTTTGTCCTGCGAGTCCTGCCCTCGAGTTCACAGCCCGTGGGCAGGTTGCCGCCAGCAGGAAGGCGGCCTCATTCGCTCGAGATAATTCCCAATTGAATTTGCTGCTGGGGAGCGACCGGCCAGGCGGGGGGTCTCCGGGCAAAGGCCGCGCAGAGAGGGGCCCGCCCGCCCGCGGGGCCTCGACGTCTGTTCGCACTGACGATGCTCATTGCATCTCCACGCGCCACGTGGGCCGTGCCCTCCAGGGCGTTGGGTTCATTTCTCCCTCAGGATTTGGCTGCATTTGGCTCATTTCCAAGGTATTAGGACCAGCTGGGTGGCTCTCAGCACCTAAAATCAGGCGCAATTAGTCCAGGGCCCCACCCATGACGGGCCCACCCGTGACGGGCCCACCCATGACAGGTCCACCCATGACGGGCCCACCCATAACGGGCCACCCATGACGGGCCACCCATGACGGGCCCACCCATGACAGGCCACCCATGGCGGGCCC